GTCAAATAGTGTGTTGCCTATATTTTCTTCTATGAGTTTTATAGTTTCAGGTCTCACCTTCAGGTCTTTGATCCATTTTGAGTTAATTTTTGTGAATTCTGCCCATTTTTTTGATCGGGTTGTTTGGTTTTTTGTTGCTGAGTTGTATGAGTTCTTTATATAGTTTGGAGATTAACCCCTTGTTGAGTATATGATTTTCAAAAATTATCTTGTCTTTTTGTTTTGTTCTTAGTTTCCTTTGCCTTGCAGAGGCTCTTCAGTCTGATGCAGTCCCATTTGCTTATTTTTTCTTCGTTTCCCTTGCCTGAGTAGACGTGGTGTTTGAAAAGATGCTTCTAAGACCTATGTCAAAGGGTGTACTGCCTATATTTTCTTCTACGAGTTTCATGGTTTCATGTCTTACCTTCAAGTCTTTAATCCATTTTGATTAATTTTGGTGTATGGCGAAAGATAATGGTGTACTTTCATTCTTTACCATGTGGCTGTCCAGTTTTCCCAACACCATTTATTGAAGAGACTTTCCTTTCTCCATTGTATGTTCCTGGCTCCTGTGTTGAAGATTAGGTGTCCATCCATGTGTGGTTTTATTTCTGGGTTTTAAATTCTGTTCCATTGATCTGTGTGTCTGTTTTTGTACCAGTACCACGCTGTTTTGATAACTATAGCTATGTATATTTTGAAGTCGGGGATTGTGATGCCTCCAGCTTTATTCTTTTTCTCAAGATTGCTTTAGCTATTCAGGGTCTTCTGTTGTTCCATATAAGTTTTAGGATTCTTTGTTCTATTTCCATGAAGAACGTCATTTGGATTCTGATTGGCATTTCATTGAATCTGTAGATTGCTTTAGGTAGTATGGACATTTTAACTATATATATTCTTCCAGTCCATGTGCGTGGAATATGATTCCATTTCTTTATGCCTTCTATAATTTCTTTGAATAATGTCTTATAGTTTTTATTGTATAGGTGTTTCACCTCCTTGGTTAAATTTATTCCTAGATATTTTATTCTTTTTGTTGCAATTGTAAATGGGATATTATTCTTGAGTCTCTTTCTGTTAGTTTGTTATTAGAGTATAGAAATGCAGCTGATTTTCGTTAAGTTGATTTTGTACCTGCAACTTTTCTGTAGTTACTCATTATTTCTAATAGTTTTCTTATGGATTATTTAGGATTTTCTATATATAGAACCATATCATCTGCAAACAGCAGGACTTTCACTTCTTTCTTGCCAATTTGGATACCATTTATTTCTTTTTCTTGCCTAATTGCTCTGGCCAAAACCTCCAGTACTGTGTTGAATAAGAGTGGCGAGAGTAGGCACTCTTGTCTTGTTCTGTTCTCAGAGGGATGACTTTCAGTTTTTCACCATTAAGTATGATGTTGGCTGTGGGTTTGTCATATATGGCCTTCGTTATGTTGAGGTACTTTCCTTCTATACCCATTTTATTGAGATGTTGGATCATAAATGGATGTTGGATCTTGTCAGATGCTTTCTCTGCACCTATTGAGAGGATCATGTGATTTTTGTTCCTCATTTTGTTAATGTGGTGTATCACATTGATTGATTAGTGGATGTTGAACCATCCCTGGGCCCCTGGTATAAATCCCACTTGATCATGGTGTATGATCCTTTTAATGTATTGCTGTATTCAGTTTGCCAATATTTTGTTGAGGATCTTTGCATCTATGTTCATCAGCGCTATTGGATTGTAATTTTCCTTCTTTGTGTTGTCCTTGTGTGGCTTTTGCATCAGGGTGATGTTGGCCTCGTAGAATGAGTTAGGAAGTGTTCCATCTTCCTCTATTTTATGGAATAGTTTGAGAAGAATGG